TTCTCAGTTGAGATTCCCTTTTCCTGGGTATATCTAGGCTTGGTCAAATTGAAAAAAATAACCAGCACACTCATTCTCAGCACCTCCCATTTCTTGGGAACTGGGCATATTTATCCCATACTAGATTGATAGGTTGATTTCTATGAGAAATCTGCATCTCCTCCTGTCTTCCTTCTCTGCTACTTATGAGACCAGTAGTCTGACAGTGTATGTTCTATGGGGTATTGACTGAGGTTTGCATCTGGGTAGGGATGCATTCTACACTGGCAGGTGCCAAGAGGACTAGCTCTTTCAGATGGCTGGACCTGGAAGGCCAGAGTGAACCTGTATGGCGAAGTCTAGGGGAAGTACAGATTCAGTCTGTGGCCCAAAAGAATAGATTGTCAGGTATTAGACAAGAGCTACTAGCAAGAAGGTGGCCAACAGAGTGGCAGAGACAGCCCTTCTCTGCTGGTGTCACAGTGACTACAGCAGCACCTAGGATGTGGTGGTGGTAACCTGAGTGATGGGAGACAAGACGCTGTTCAGATGCCTCCAATCCTGGTTTTCTCTGGCTAACACAGAATGTTCTTTCTGCCCTCCCACCTCAATAATGCTAACCATTGCACCTTGGTACTCTTGTGTTTGCTTTTGCTTCCCAGCTTCTGTGACATGGACAAAGTAAGTAGAAAGAACACTGATATTGTCTATCTTTTCAAGTTCTTTTAGATGCCATTGTCACCTGTGTTCCATATTCTCTAGATTAGGGGATACTTAATCTAAGACTGTGCATGGTAAATTATAATGTGGCTTTTCTAGTCTAGGCAGCCTGACTGATAGCCCTTTTAAAAGTAGAATTCATCCTGATAATTATCATGCTTGCCTCCTATCTAGACTGAGAAATGCAATACGGACTGAAAGATTAAGAATTTGAAGAAAGGGGTCACAGAATATTTAAGGAGGATACTAAAAGCTCATACCACCATACTTCATACCTTATCCACTATACCTCCCTCATACCAGGGAGCCAAGAACCTTCCTGCCTCATATAATCAGTACAAATTGGTTGACTTCCATGACATGTGAGGCTTAATATGTACTCCAAAGATTTTTGTTTTGTTTTTAGATGGTGGATCCAATATAGCCTGGTTAAAATAAGCCAGAAAGAATTCACCAAGGTCAAAAATATTAAAGAGTTGCAACAATAAGAGTGAAATCCAGTAGGCTTCCCTTTTCCATGGTGGCTAATGAGGAAAGAGAGAATACAGCTACCCAGCCCCACACTATTAGAGAGAGCAAACTACCAATCTAACAGCCCTTCACCCCCTTCCCATGGCCACTCACAAGCAAAGGAGTAAGAGAAAGGGGAATTTCCAGAGGATGATTTGGAGAGGGAGACAAAACAGCCCAGAAGATTGCAATTTATCTTTTTGTCTTTCAGATGGGAAGTCCTTTGTCTTCAGTGAAGGATTCCCTAGATGGTGACCTTGCCCATCTTGATATCTTCCATTCACAGGTCTTAAGGAAAGAATACCTGATTTATTGTCTGCACTCAAGCCTGGCCTGAATATAAACTGGAGGATGCAGAAAGATCACTTCTGGGTCCCAGGGGAAGTATTCCTTTCAGTTCAATCTTACAATTAGAATTGTTTTGTAAAAAGAAAGGTGAATGGACCAACATTCCTTATGTGCAGGCCTTCTTTGCTTTAAGAGAGAACACAGACTCATGTAGGGAGTGTTGTAATGACCCCTCACTCTTGGCTGCCCTCACAATAGGGACTTCTGAGGCTGCCAAAGACCTCTGGCAGGTACAGCAGCCCTTAGAACAGGGGAAAAAAACTTCTCAGCCTTCCTGACCCCAAGGACTCAGAGCTTGTCAAGGTCCCTAATCCTCCCTCTCAAATGCATCCTTCTTTCCTGCCATTTCAGATGTCCCCAGGATGGGGAGACCCACTCAGGCACACACCCCCTTTATAAGAGCCAAGACCAAGGGTTGATCTTGATAAGTTTTCAAAAGACCCTGACACATGTATTGAGATCTTGAAGGCACTCGAGCAGTTCTTTGAACAAGCTTGGAAGGACATGTTACTCTTAAATAAGACCCTGACCTCCACTGAAATGACTGCAGCTTTACAAGCTACCCAAGATATGGAGACCAGATACATGCAATAAATGTAAATATATACCTCATAATAGAGGAAGCACAAATACAAATAGAAAGCCAGTTACCACATCAGTGTGGGGATGATGGAAACAGGAGGTAGAAATGACTAGGCAGTTTAGGGTAAAAAGACCCCACAGAAAGTAGTTTCTTGTCTGTAAGCCAGAAATGACTTGATCTTTATTTTTGCTAGAAGCTAGAGATGCCTCAAGTGTCTAAGCCAAAAACATCTGGCCCTACAATGGCCAGGGATGCTGGAGATGCCATGTTGTCTGTTTTTTATTTTTAAATCTCTTTCCCTCAAGGGGCACTCTTTCTCAGGGAAACCATACTGACGGTATGGCTGAAGCCATTAGAGTACGTACAACCCACTAGATCCCAGCTTTTCTTTATCTGTGTCTGTGTGTCTGTCCTTTCTTCATTCCCTCATTACCCCTGGTCAAGGTTCTAAACCATGCAGGACACAGTATCTACCTCTACCTAGTAAAGCCTTATAAACTCCAAGGCAGTGAGGCTTAACGGTATCCGACTCCTTGGGACCCTTTCTTCTTCTATACAGGAGCTCTAACTTCTTTATCTCTCTTAAGCTCTAGTGCTGGTTAGTGTTAGCTAACCTGACATTAGCTAGAGTCACCATGGTAGAAGGAACCTCAACAGAAGAAGTGCCTCCATCAGATTGGACTGTGGAGTCACTTCTTGATTAATGATGGATGTGGGAGGGCTCAGCACACTGTAGGTAGTGCCACCTTGAGCTGATGGTCCTGGGTTGTATAAGAGCAGACTTGGCAAGCCAAGGAAGCAGCCTTTCTGCATGGTCTCTGCTTCAGTTTCTGCCTCTAGATTCCTGTTTGAGTTCCTGCCTTGGTTACTCTCAATTATGTACTTGTATTCGAAATAATCTCTTTCCTCCCCAAGCTGGTTTTGGTTAGTGCTTTATCATATCAACAAAGCAGCAAACTAGAATAGCTCTCTAAAATAAAATACCTCTTTTTAAAACTCAACCTCTGAGGGCTCTGTCACACTCAAAGATATCCCAATATTCCTTTATCAATATTTTAATCATGTTGCAAGAGGGAAAGAAAGCTATCACTACTGTTTACAACAGGGTTTGGTCATCAAGTTAAGATTCTTTTCCATTTATGGAGGTTTGGGGTGGGCTGTATTTTCATTTGTTTCTATGTTGGGGGAGCTAAGGAGTCTGAGCTTTTTCAATTTCCCATGGAAAGTATTGCAATATTGTCTCATTTTTATTATGCAAATAAATATACACACATCACATATGTGCTATTTATATACAACTATATTTTAGTGATGCTTGCTAGCATTAGTTTTCTTTATTGCTATAGTTCTATTTTAACATGCATGTCTGTGCATAAATACACTATGTTTAATTTTTGCAGTCATATTTAATCCTGAAATTTATTTCTGAAATGAGTCATTTCCTTCAATTAAGTGTAAGATACACTGTTTTACGAACACTATGTTCTTGGCTATTTTTGCTAATTCACTCTCTGCAAAAATCAGTAATTTTAAACCTAGACTTAATAAAACAAAGATTTTGTTCTACAGAAGATAAAGGTAATTAAGATTTCCAGTACTGGAATAAAAGAGCCTTCATTAAACTTCATTAGTCTTATTTGAGTGTCTAGAGCATTAGTTCTTTGGTACAAACACATTTTGTAATGTACTTTTGCAAGCATAATATGTGTGTTTTGAGGTTTATAGCTGTAATTCCTTGGGACCAGTAATCACCTTTTAATCACCTTGTAGACTCATTCATTCATTCATTCATTTATTCACTCATTAACTCATTCACTTACTCATTTGTGTGTATTTTTAATGGTGGAAAACAGAAAAAGGAGATTTATTCATTGTAAACATTGGGAAGGTGTCCAATAAGATCCAGTGACCCTCACTCCCCACCCTATCTGGGACTGAAGTTTATACAGAGGGCCAAGGATATGTGTATCTAAGCAGCTCCAGTCAAGATGATGTCCCGCCCACCATTGACTGACATTCTCTGGGCTTCATTCTAATCCTCTAAGACAGCCTAGCTACCTGTTAGAAATGTGTGAAGTCTCCTTCCAGGAGACCAGCTCCCCTCTACCTGGCACCTTTTCCTTCTCTGTGTGTGAGATTCCAGGGGAATTTCCATTTCTTTTGGGGTCCTTTATACCAATAATCTGATAGATTGAGAGAAACAAGTGTCTCTTTAGAATATCCTCATTTCTACCAGACCAGTTAAAATTCCCCAATTTTTGTTTTAATGCGTCAATTTTAGGTTAGACTCTGTCTATGTTTGAAACAAATATAACAAACAGAATGGAAGCTGGGACCATGATTAGAAGACATTTAGTTAGTGCCAGGCAGCCATTTTTCATAACATCTTGGCTTTAGTTACTATTTGGAGAGCAGGCATAAGCAACTCCAGCTAGTTGGCTTGAGACAAGGTCTCATCATCAAAGTCCAGTCTGGCCTTAAATTTATAATCCTCCTGTTTTGGCTTCCCAAGTGCTGGGATTACAGGTGAGCATAACCATGCCCAGCATGGCTTATTTTAATTCTGTCAGCTCTCCCACCCCTTGTCTCTGAACAATATTCTCTGAAGACATCTCTGATTAACTCATGTATTGTTTTCTATTGTCCTGCAAAACCAGGAGAAGATTCATTCTGATTGGTCTGACTTGGCTTTGAAGAGATCTGAAATAAAGGTCAGAGTAATTAGCATTACAGTCCGAGACAGGGAATTGGGAGAAGCCAGAACAGAGGATATATATTTTTAAACATTCAAGACAAAGTTAATTAGAGTTGCTTGTTGGGTTCACAAGATCATCCATCCATTTGGCTCTACCTTGATTTTTTTTTCTAGGCCTCCAAGGCTAGTCTTGAGAGTGATGAACTCAGGATATGTTTTCAGGCATTTTGGTAACTGTTTGAGCAGCAAATAGAGTCACAGTGTGAGGTCCCTCCCAGATGGATTCCAGAGATGGAGAGAGAAGAAATTTAAGTATCATTTGGCTGTAGGTATTTCCTGCATTATTATTATTGAATTGAGATAGCATTTTTCTTATCAAAAAGAAAATCATGAGTGAGAAATAGTTGTCTAAACATCTATGGATTGAATACCAATGTCTGGGGAGTGTGTTCCCTTACAGTGTTAAAAAATTATACTTATCATTTTAATAATTGGTTACATTTCTTGTTAGGTGTTTATGACCATGCAGCTGGCCAAAATTAACCACTTTCTGTTTTGCTTTGTTTTTTAACTTCATCTCCAGTTTTTCCATCTCCAATACCCATTACCAGAGAAGTGCCATAATCTGAGGTTTATCTCTGATGTAGGTTGGTGACATGGTAATCCATCTGTCTCAAAGGTGACAATATTCCAAACCTTCCCTCGATCAAAGTAGTTGTTTAGCAGATCACTCTGGTTAAGCTTGTGTGCCTTTTGAGTTCTAACTTAAAGAGAAAAAATCAACAAGGTATTTTCATTGATTTTGGATACTCATCAGAATTCCAATGCCTGTCTAGATTTTAATTCTTTTTATTTTAACAGCAGACTAACATTATAGGAGATAAAAGTAAGTGAATAAAGGAAATACGTATTGGTGGAACCAGTAGCTATTCTTAGCTGAGTATTGTTATGCAAAGTAAGCAAAGCCATGGCATGCTCACCCATCACTGTTATCCACGCTTGGTGCTGTAAGTTTCAGGAGACATCTTTTCTTTACCTACTATTACCTTAATAGGGATACAGGAATTCCATGGTCTGAAAAAGTCCAGAAGAGTAATAGTAACACTCCACACTTCAAGAAACTTCAGGGGAGATCTGTGAGGCATATGGCCCCTACCTCATCTTCCCAAGCCTGGACTTGAATCAAACCATTTCTTATACGCATTAGTCCTGTTTGTCCTTTTGTCCTCAAGTTTCCTTCTGAACCATGTATTCAAATTCCCACATCAATGAGACTAAGAACCAGAGAAAGGGAGCCCCAGTAACATATTTAGATATTAAAGTATATTATTTATAACACAGAATATCACCCCAGCAACGATTTCAAAGCAACAGCCCATCTTAACATGGTCAAAGTGATGTACACTTACAATGGACCAAGGTAAAGCTATCTGTATACAAGCCAGCCCTGACACTAATCATTTTTAAGTGTGACCAGTGAAAGTAGTTTAGATATTTTTTGAGCACTTAATAAAAAAAAATATTTTAAGCCATTTTTAGGTCATTACTCCTAAATTCTGTAAATCAGATTTTCTTTCAACCTGTATTTCTATAATTAATGTATGAAGGCACCAGATCCAAATTATTATGAGTAAGTTCAAAATAATGGTTAAAAAATCTAAAAAGACAAACATGACACCAACCAACTAAACAACCAACAAATCTTTCCCCCAATTCATACGGTATTTTACACAAGCCTGCCAGAGATGTAGCACAGAAATGTCTCCTTTTTTTTAAATTTAAAATTTCTGAATTATGATTCTTTTCTAAGATTTCTTTATTTATGAGTGCTTTGCCTTCATGCATGTCTGTGAACTCTGTGAGGTCAGTACCTGCAGAGGCCAGCAGAGAGCACAGAGTCTCCAGGACCTGGAGTTAGGGATGGTTGCAAGCCACCATGTTGGTGTTGAAATCCAACGAGAGTCTTCTGCAAGAGCAACCTGTCGGTGTTCTTAACTATAGAATCATCTTTCCACCCCTGGATTTTAGGTAAAAAGAAAAAGACATAGAAGCAGTTTTTGTTATGAGTCTAAAATGACCCTAACCACATCTATACACACAAACATTCACACACACATTAAAAAACAAACAAACAAACAAACAAAAACCCAAAGACATCCCATTCATGATTTTCAGTTCACAATGAATTAAAAAAATGAATGCAAAACTGAGTTTTCTTTTGAGCAGCTCCAGGGGCAGAGATTGGTTTTTGCCCCATTACTGTTTTAGAAATCATCCCAAGTTAAAATTTCTTATTTTCATTTTATGTGTATGGGTGTTGTGTGTGTGTGTATGCGTGTGTGTGTGTGTGTGTGTGTGTGTGTGTGTGTGTGTGAGAGAGAGAGAGAGAGAGAGAGAGAGAGAGAGAGAGAGAGGAGTTTAAATGATGTTACCTTATATGCAACAGTAATACTTCTTCCTGATGACATGGGTTCTAAACCAGCTCAGTGTCAGTTGTGGGACACCTTCCCCTGGAGTTGTTGGTCATAGGTATACCAGAGACCCCCAAACAATGCACGCTATAGCTATTGCTCTTGGTCCACCAGAACTTGATGGTAAAGCTCTAATGCTGAAGGTCATTCATTGGCCGTAGGACATGGAAGAATCAAGTTGGCACTGGTCAGGAAGCTTCCTCCCTGATGTCTACTACGCACAGCACTAAAAAGTGCTATGTAGGTAGCTGAGGGGAAAATGTTATCAACAGACTTACTTAGCAGTGAACCTTTGGAGTTAACAATAACAATCTAGCTGGTAAGACATGCCCATAGATGCAATAGTGTCATGAATGATGTAGGAATAACCAACAACTCTCAGGTTGGTTTAAACCCACAGCACAAGATGAAACTCGGACCTGGTGTTACAAACTTCGTAGAAAGTCCGGATCTGGGAAAAATCATAAACGACAGGTGAGAACTTGCCATGTTCTGCTAAATGAACACAACACCAAACTGCTTTCTAGCCACTCATCTCTATTCCTATGTATTAGTGCATCTCTCAAGCCTCAGCAGAGAGGCTTCCTCTCACGTCAGATGGAGATGAACACAGAACTCCACAGCTGGCCAGAGAATGAGTGCTTGTGGGGTATTCAGCCCTAAATGAGACATCTACCACATCCCCCTTCCTGCATGGCTCAGAAAGCATTGAAGAAGTGGGGGGTGACTGCTGAAACACCAAGTGTTCAGGACATAGCAGGAACAGTGCACTCATGAACTCACAGAGGCTCTGATTGCCTGCACGCGACTACACAAAATGAAGCCAGTGAAAAAGTCCAGCGTAGCTAAGGGAGGAGGGGCTCGCGATGCCCTTTCCTAGCTGAGGAGTTTTAGCAGTTGAAGACTGATGGGATGGGAACAACTAGTTTCTTCAGAGACGTTGTCCTTGGTAGCTTGCCCTGCTCCGGGGATGGCCTGACACACATACACACAAGCACAGCATTGATTGGATTCCATAGATTATGAAAAGCAGACATGAAGTTCCTTCTCAAATATTTAAATCTTTGTAAGTTTAATAATGAGGCTTTTAAAGGTCTGAACTACACTGAATAATGAGAATATTCTTTTTACAGGGGTAGTGAAAAATCTTGAACATTTTTAATCTTGAAAATTTTGTTCAAGCAAGGTTTCAGGTCTGGGTAGGGGAACAGTCACAACAGAAATATTGTGAATTATGGGCTGGGAGGACTACTCTGCTGGCAAAGTGTTTACCGTGTAAGCATGGGATCCAAGTTAGATCCCCAGAACCTGCATTAAAGGTCAGGTGTAGAGGGTCCCTGAGGCTTACAGAGCAGCTAGGCTAGCCAAATCCATGAGCCCCAGGTTCTGTGAGAAACTGTATATCAGAAAATAAGGGGAAAGTAGGCACACATGCACACACACTCAATGATGAATGTGATGAATGCAGGGATACAGTTTTGTCCTCATTTGTAGCTTCTTTGAAACTGACATTATTTCTATCACTTAAGCATATAGCATTGAAAATGCAAATATCTCAGATAATTATAAAAATTTAAATAAGGAAGGGTTTAAGAAATAAAAAAGTAAGATTTAGTAGAAATGTAGTTTGAGATTTTGAATTCTGTTTATTGGTACCCAGTTTCAATGTAGCTGAAAATGGACATCACCCAACTTTTCTGAAGCTTATGGAGAAAGAAGAGGATGCCATAGTTATGGAGTAAGATCCATCAATCACCATTCATCTCTTGGCGTTCTGCAGCACAAACCTGGTAGTCCTTTTTCTAAAAGGGAGCCTTAGCTATGGTGTGTCTTCCAGTGTGTAAAATCACCTTGCTCCAGACTTCCGTTCTTCCAGGCTTCTGGGAGCTATTTGAGGAAAGATTACACAATTCTGAACTTCCAGTTACCATGTTTAAAAGGCTCCTGTGGTAGTGAGTAATGTCTTCCTTGAGCAGGAGATGGCTCATATGACACTTTAATTCTTAAAGGATGCCCAGTAATTATCATGTAAAGTGATATTTAGACATTTTCCAAAAATGGTAATTAGAACGACTCATTACTAATTAGGAATTAGAAGAACTGATATGAGTGTCAGTGTCCAAGGAAGCCTAGGACTCATTAGTAAATTCTGACAGTTAGTGCCATCGTTTTTACCTACCCGCCAGGGTATAGTACTGAAGATCACAGCCAAATCCCAGAAGGTCTTGCTATGATACAGGAAACACCACAGTCAAAGGTTTTAGCCCCCACTTTTCAAAGACTTTTTATTGTTAATTTATTTGACTGTATATGCATGAATGTTTGCTCCGTGTATATCTATACACCATGTGTGTACCTGTTGCCTGAGGAGGTCAGTGTTGGATCACCTGGAACTTGGATGTTGTGGATGGTGTTAGCCACCATGTAGGACTTGGGAATCGAACCCAGGTCCTCTGGAAGAACAGTCAGTACTCTTCCCCACTGAGCCATCTCGCAGCTCCTAGCCACCCCCCATCCCTTTTAAATACAGGAAGGACCTCCTCTCTAAGTTTTATTCAAAAAAGGGACATAGGTATCTTCTTTTGACACAGAATCATGGAGAAAATGAAGGAAGAGGCCGTGCAGGCAAGGTTAGCTGACTGTCAGGAGTTGAGGAACGTTAGATTCTTCAGAATTTATATTTAGTTAGACATGTCTGGTTTAAAACTGAAATTTCTGTTTATTTTTAACATACCTTTTAAAATTAGATGTAATTTCTAAAGCCTTCATTAATCTTTTGTATACTGGTAGTTTTGTAATTTTTTTAGATGCTCTTTTTATTCCAAATAAATTAGGTTGTTCTCTTAACAGTAGTCAATTCTGTTGATGGGGATTTGCAGTTTAGTGTGGAAAAAAAATTGGAATAACAAGTGTTCCCCACTGAGGAAAACATCTAAGCCTACTTATCTTTAGTTTGATTTGCCCACTTTCCAAATTCTTCTAAGTTGAATTAACACAATTATTAAACATTACACCAACTGGAGTACCAAATAGGAGTATTTCCGGAACATTTTCTTCATTCAATCTCTTTCCATTTTCTCTGAAAAAAAAAAACAAAAAAAAACAAAAAAAAAAACAGGCTTCTTCATGGTAGCCAAGGTCTGTGTTTGGATTAGATCTATATACTGCTTTGGGGAGTAATTCCCTCAGCTCTGACCAAGCTTAGTTACTCACATTGTGCCTCAGGCTTGTTCTGTACCTTCTGAGAACACAAGGAGGCACAAGACACTGAGTGACCAACCTGTGAGTGTCTTCTTGACTGAGTCAATAAAGTCCCTTCAACCCAGGAGACAGTATGCTTTATTGAACATCCCTCTGAGGCGATTACATCTCCATGCTGTTGGACTGGAGGCAACAAGTCGCTCTTATCTTCAATATCTTTATGATCAGGTGCTCAAAGGATTCATAAACTGAAGGCCACAGGAATGCAATAAGCAGGAAAGGTCACAGAAAATGTAGAACTGAAACTGAAGGAGTGACCAGAGGGAAGGTCAAATGCTAGCCAATCAACAAACATTTTCAGAGCAGACAACCAGAGCGCTCTGAAAACTGAGTGCTCTGCAGAAGAAATGGAATCTCAAACCGAGTGATTGAAACAAACAAAACAGAATCCTAACAACCAGCTCAGAACAAACTGATAGATGTTGACCAAACCAAGAGAGGGCTGAGCCTTGGGAAGAACTCACCAGCTTCCACCAGGGAGGTGATGTTGAACGATGAGGTACAAGGGACCATGCTCATACCAAATACCAATCCCCGTGACTCCTCCACTGAAAGTGTATCATCCCCGGGGCTCCACACTGGGTGTCAAAAGCTTTAGATCAGTTCCCAACTTTCCTAATGCTGTGACCCTTTAATACAGTTTCTCAAGTTGTGGTGACCCCCAACCATAAAATTATTTCATTGCTACTTCATAACTGTAATTTTGGTACTGTTATGAATCATAATGTAAATATCTGATATTCAGGATATCTGATATGTGACCCCTATGGAGATTGCGACCCACAGTTTGAAAACCATAGCTTTAGCTGCACAAACACAGCTCTGATCACAAAGGGAATAAGTTACTTCTGGAGCCAAATGTGGGTGACACAGCAGTACGTGATTGGGTTATCTCGAATGCCATATTCCAATGTGATAGCAGTTTGGGGAAGTTTTCACAGCTAGTTTGATCTTACAGTTCCAACTTCATTTGCAGTAGCTAGCTCTAGTTCTTAGGAAAACTTAATTTTTAATTTATCATAACTCTTGTTTGTGGATATTGACTTGATTTGTTTTACTATACTGGCATTATACAAGATTTAACCTGGAAAAAATATATGGAAAGCCACATTTTAGAAGCAGTTAGATAACAATATAGTATTTCTTTAATTTATCTTTTAACAAAATTGTTTTTTGGTTACCAAATACTAATAAGTGAGAGAAAGAAGAGATGAGATCCATTAGAAATCAGGATTCTACAGGCCTTGTAGACATAACCAAATCTCCCTTTTTATTTTCATGGTCAGAAATAGAATTCTAGAAGGAATCATTGTAGTACTGTCCATTTCCTTTTTAATTATCAAAATACAGCTATTGTTTTGAAGGGACCAGGACCCGTTGCTTTTTTCCGGGGGCCAGTTTGCTGGGACCTCTCCTCATATTACCCTACCATCCTATGCTGACTCATATCTGGCTTCAACCAGACCTTCAGGAAGTATGTCCAGTCTGGTAGCCAATCAGGGTCCTACTCAGCCACAAGCAGGAACTATTCTTACTATTTTCAGTTAGACAGAACCGTGACACAGCAAACAAACCCCTGACACAGCAGACAGACCCCTGACACAGCAGACAGACCCCTGACACAGAAGACAGACCCCTGACACAGCAGACAGACCCCTGACACCACAACCACAGTTGCTGACCAGATGTCATGGGCCAATCATAAAATGATTCTTGTATCTATAAGGGTCTATACCCAATCACTTCAAAGTACACTTAACCCACAGCTGGAATTCCCCTAAGCAGGCTTTAAAGGGGCTGCCTTATCCTCCCCAGGGATCAAAGCCATTTTGAGTAGGCCCCAGCATGCTGGTTTTTCTAGAGGATAAAGCTACTTTCTGCAATTGCATATCAGGTGTCTTCTGGTCATATAGAGTGATCTAAGGACCCTCTAGTTTAATTTTAAAAAAAGATTGATTTTTATTGCTTTTAGTTATCTCTAGGGTGTATCTGCACTTAAGTGCAGGTGCCTACAGAGGCCAGAGGTGTCAGATTTCCCTGGAAGTGGAGTTACAGATGGTTTTGAACCACCTGCTGTGGGTGCTGGGAACCAAACTCTAATCCTCTGGAAGAACAGGAAGTGTGCTTAACCACTGAGCTGTCTCTCCAACTCTAATTAATTTTTATAAGTCCTGGCTAATTATACTATATGACTTCTTAAGTACTCATTTAATCAAGGAATATCAATGCTTAATGTAAATAACACCACAAATGTTGTTATTAGATACTGATGTCTTCTGTATAATTTGGATATAAAGAATTAATGCAGAGATTTTGGTGTCTCTAGCTAGAGTAAATAAAGTGAAGGTTACTTCATTTGTTAAACATCTGAGCAAATTATAATGCCTTTTACAACATTTAATGTGTTGAATCTTGACATTTTAACATCAAGAGAAACATAATAATCTAATCGGCTGGACCCAATATGTATATGTGTGTGCATGTTTGCATGCCTGAGTGCAGGTGTGTGTGTGTGTGTGTGTGTGTGTGTGTGTGTGTGTGTGTGGTGTGTCTTTTACTTAACAAGAAAAAGTTTATTAACTTGTTTTAAGAATTTGGATTATTTCCAAGCTGGAGGTTTTTGTTTTTTAAGATTTAAAATAAGTTTTTGTGAGTTTAAAAACTAGATTTCCTTTATCCAATTTATACTGAATCACAGTGAGAAAAGTGTGCTTCATGAAGACTGTGAAGAAAGACATGTGAATCTTTTAAGCACAAAAATTAGATTGAAGTAAGGTGGGAGTCTGGGATAAGCAAATAGTCACAAAAGCATGATTAATGAAAGGAAATGATATCATTATCATGTATAACTTCATTAAAAACAAGATTAGCCTTATTTTGTTACTTAGGAATGTGCAAGTGAAATATTAAATACCACAATTAAAATCTAATGAAAGGATTTAAGAAATATAAAATGTAGGAGAAATGTTCAGTTTCTTGGGGTATTCAGCTGTCAGTGATGTTGAAGGCAGTGTCATCCAGCATTTTTTAATATTATGTGGATACATGTTTTCAGATGTAGTTGGCACATGTTGGATGTGAAAAATGTGAGTCTAAAAGTTTATCTCCTGGAGTTTGGTTACCCAGGCATCAGTCAGAAGTACCTGGGTAGAATCTCTTTCCTCTAGTCAGAATGGAGGCTTTATTGTGATGTTGTTTTTAACTCCTGGTTGGTGGAAACACCCCAGTTTCTTTATCCCCTAAGTAAGGGCTTTGTAAACAATTCTGATTCTTAATTATCATATTTTAAAGTCCCTTGTAGCGCTATACATTTTTATTTGATAGTGATAGTTCATTGTACTTTTTTTTTTTATAGGATACCAAGTATTTGTTTTACAGGGAGATAATTATACTTCCCAAAGGAGTTAATCTTAGTAGAAAGTCAAAGCTTTAGTTCATGTTGACAGTTCATTAACATTATTGTTTGTCTAATAGGTCAAATTTTATAAACAGATTTCAGATTTGTCCATTAAAGTAAGTTTCACAATCATTATGTAATTTT